TCAAGGCAGCCCTTGTAGCTATCTGCTGCCCATCTGCAAACACAATGTATCTGTACACAGGGAATAGAGGGCAGAGGCTGCTCTAATCTCAGCAGAGCATCTTCCTCATTGTCCAAATGGCACACATGAAGATTGATGGCAGATTAAAGACACTCACCCGTCTACCAATCGATGGAAATGACAATTCATCTGAAATTTTTTGGCAGTAATTCACCAAAATCATTACCTGGCCCGTGCTCCTCATCCCCCAGCACTATATTAATCCAGAATTTCCATGTCACTCAGACACTGAATAAAAAGAGTTTCAATGCGGAGGTGATCGCCCTGAAGTCTGCGATCGGGGATCGATGGAAGTGCGCCAGTGGTGCAGAGGGGACAGTATTGAAGGCTTTCTGTATGGAAATTGGGGAGAATGGATAATGCTGCCTTCTCCATAGAAAGGAGGCCGCTGTAATGTCATTATTGTAATGTGAATGCGACGAGTTGGAAGGAGCCCCACATCCCTCAGGCTGCATATATGATGCTCAGCACTCATCCAGCATCATACACAGAAAGCCAGGGATGCCTTAACACAGACACATACATCCACTGGCATCATGATTCCTGCAGTGCAAACCAGATTTCTAAAATGTCCCCCCTAGTTACCAATCAGATCCCAGCTTTCATTTTCTAACGCAGCGAAAATGCAACATGGCAGTACATTTCTGGAGACTGGAGTGACAGTGGTGCTGATGAGACAGTTGGATTCTTTGGGGTTAATTTGCTAAAGGCAAATAGGCTGTGCACTTTGCAAATGCAGTTGCACTTTTCAAGGACATTTGCTCCAGAGTTTAGTAAATGAGACTTAAATCATCCAATCATTTTTTTTCCTTGCATGTGATTGGGCATTCTTTGCAAAGTGAAGCCTCAACTCATTTACTAAACTCTGGAGTAAATGCCTTCCTAGAGTGTAAGTGCACAGTCTATTTGCCTTTAGTAAATCAGCTCCCTATTTGATGGTTGCTGAGGGCAGTAGCTGTACGTCTGCTGCCCTTTTTACAGATGGGCACTGAGTACTGAGTCATAGGATACAACTGCTCTGTGCCCATTTGGCAGGAATAGGCCAGTATGTGACAGCACACATTCATGAACTACATATGGAATGATACATTGATGTGTTCATTTGTGCATTGTGTGTGGAGCAGTGTGCCCAGTATAGAGGAACACACATGGTTACACACAAGAAAGAAACTGCTTTTCTGGCTGTGTACTGTGAAATGAATCGGGGTTCTGCTCTAGGGGTCTCACACAATTATTTCTTGGCAGGTCCGGTGAGCCTGAGCACTCCTGCTCAATTAATCGCTCCCCCTCCATTGTGATGAAGGGCACTCTGTCCGTCACATCTTTCGAGCTGTACTTTGAGGTGGATGAAGATGATCCCAACTTTAAGAAAATCGATCCCAAGGTAAGAGAGAGGGCTGATCCTTGCCTGGCTGGCCAGGACCCCATGATAAATCATTCTGAAGCCTTGAGCACTGCTGATAACCTCTAGCAAAGACTGGCCAACTCCTGTACTAATCCCAGACGTGGATTATTACAGTGTACACAGGCTTAGAATCGGAGGGGGAGCCTCACATAGATCGCATCTCCTGACTTGTTGTCTTTGTATGCAGCTCCAGGAATATGTACATGTAACATGCCAAGAGAAGTCAGTGTTTCCATGTAGATCTGCATTGTCCCCATACTTCGTGCTCTGTCTGTACGGCCGGGGTAGTGGCTGCCACAGCTGACATCGCCCCGGGCCTCTGCTGCCTGAATCAGCTTTGTAATCATACACGCTTCACTGCACACTGCTCCCCGCAATACGTGCTCTCCACATCGCTCATGTCTACATAGACCCACACGTACAATTTGCCTTCAAACAGCTCAATTCATCGCCCCAATTTCTCATCAAATCGCTGGGCATTCATTTCTGTTGACGCTCAGCCTTATCTAGGAGTTTCTAAAAACTATTTTAGCTGTTTGTAAGTATAATCCACTTGTATAAATGAATACATATGTACACACACAGATAGACAGAGATTTAGAGAGAGAAAGATTTAAGTGTATAAATGATTATGAAACACACACACACAATATATATAAATGAAATATACACGAACAAAGCTTCCTCTGTTTCACTTTGCAAAATGAAATTACTTTTTTTAAGGCGAACAGTCCACATCCTTCTTTCAGTATATCAACCCCAGTGAGGGTACCCTGCTTTATCAAGAAAAATGTGTGTGTATGTATGTATATATGTGTGTATGTGTGTGTGTGTATATATATATATATAGTGTGTGTGTATATATGTATGTGTGTATATATATGTGTATGTATGTATATATATTATTTAGTGTGTGTTTGTATATATATGTGTATATGTATGTGTGTGTATATATATATATATATATGTGTGTGTGTGTATATATATGTGTATATATATATATGTGTGTGTATGTATATATATATATATATTAGTATATATATATATATATATATTTATATATATATGTGTATATATATATATATATATATATGTGTGTGTGTGTGTGTGTGTGTATATATGTGTGTGTGTGTATGTATATATGTGTGTATGTGATATATATATATGTGTGTATGTGATATATATATATATATATATATATATGTATGTGTGTGTGTGTGTGTGTGTGTAAACGAGTATGAAACACACATTTACTACAGTGCATACATGAGTATAATATTTAGAAGTATATTGACACTCCTTATCAAGCAGGGTACACTCGTAGGACTTGATTTACTGAAGGAAGAAAGTGAACTGTTCACAAAAAGAAAAAAAATAATTTTACAAAGTGAATTAGGTGAACCTTTGTTCGTCTGTGTGTGTGTATATAAAATATGTGTGTGGTTTTGTACTCGTGTATATTAGGTAAATCTTTGTTCCTGGGTGTGCATGTGTTTGCATATTTTATTTCAGGTACTTATATAGCGCCATCAATTTACGTGGCGCTTTACATATGTATTATGCATGCACATCAGTCCCTGCCCTCAAGACCTATCTAACGTGTGTATGTATGTGTGTGTGTATATATATATAAAATATATATATATATATATATATATATATATATATATATATATATATATGTGTGTGTGTGTGTATTTTATACTCATTTATTTTAGGTGAACTTTTGTTCATATTTCATGTACAAGAGAAAGTGAGAAAGTATTAGAAATGTGTTATGTTGCTGTCACTTGATTTGCTGCTCGAACATTGTTTCTTCCTATTATATCGGCTCCGTAAAAGTTCACTTTTGTTAAAGGAACTCTATTCCTGTAGTAAATCCCCTCCCCCCCCCCAATTATTGTGTCCTTGCAGAAATGTGAAAGACCTGTTGTGGGTCCTGTAATGAGAGCAGGACTTGTATGTTGGTGAGTGTTGTGTTAGGGATTGTGCTAATCAGTGTAGAAGAAAACATTATGACAAGCTTTATAGGCAGCCTGCCGTGGAGATAGGATCTGAGAGATAAGATCCCTGTTTATATTCACACTTTGCTTGTTTTTACAGTCAATCAGTAGCCACCGGCTAGCAGCCTGTTTGTCATTAAACTAGACGGGTTTGACATTATAGGACAGTTCTTCTGTCTCACTAAAAATGCCCATCCTCGGGATATTGTATGTGCTATAAATGAGAGGAATCGATACAATGTTATCAAATGAGTTACTCAATCTTATATATAAATGTTTCTGTAAATAATATATCATTTTTAAGGAATGTGCTTTAACGGTCACTTTCATGATTTCTATTACTTTTTTCCAGCTATTGTAATTCCACGATTGGCTGATTTATATGTTGCGCCGTCTTGACTTATTTCACTATAATTCCAGCACAGCTCTGTATACATTTGTATCGTTTTCTAGGCTTGGGTCTGTTTGATGAATATCATGGAGTGATAAATAAAACCTGTGTATTAGAATATTTCAGACCACACCACAAAGCACTCTGACATTCTCACACACGGGATGCATTCTCGGTTCTCATTTATCAAGACAAACATCTGAAGTTTTACTTGTTGTTTTTTTTATTGGTCTTTTTCTGGTTTCAATGTGTCAGCTGCTAGGCACAGGCTGACGTTGGCACTATAATACATTTAACCTTGGTAAACTTTTAAAGAAGAACATTTGTACATATAGTTTAAATAATTTTTTGTTCACTTTGTGACAAACATTCAGGAAAAAAAAAATAATAATAAAAAGAAAATTGCTACATTTCATTAGGAAAATGTACCTTGATTTTCTTAAGTCCGATTGCTTCTCGTGTGACTTGATTCACATTGTTTGGAAGGAGAGAGTCACCCCTCACCTCCTGTGCAAGGAAAAGTCCCTCCACGTCCCTCCCCACTGAAGGGTGCTGGGGCTGCTTGGTCCGCTCTTCTTAGGTTGTGGGAAGAATTGGAGACAAAGGGATTTGTTCTGTGCTTCCAATGAGTCCCGGACAAACATGGATTTCAAAACTGGTCTTAAGACCTCTTAAATCACAGCGAAATAAAAAAAAAAATAAAGTTGCGATCGGCGAATGGAAAGTGATTTTTTGTTAACAGCTTCAGGGGAAAGTGTCTGCATTGACGGTGGAGTATAAATAAAATGAGGTCCATTTTGGGACAGAGGGGCTATGGAAGTCCTGCCATGCACCATATCACACACCCCTGTGTCACAAATTCGGTAAAAAGTATTGCTAGAGTTAATCCCAATCCCTTGATCGCCACTTTTTTGTGATCTGCAAGTGCATTAAAAGTTTCCTTTGTGTGCTATGTGTTTGCATTAAAAGTTCAGAAAAGAAGTATGGCTGGGCCCTAAGACTGGTGCAGTCCTGGAACTGACATGGCACAGAGAGCCCAGTGTAAACTTTCCCATGCATCGTCCTTTGGCCTGCACTGGAATCCAGTCTTTTGGTCTACAGTGGAATGTCGCCTTCCATGCCCAGTGTCCCCAGACCTGTCTCATAGTTTATCTAGGCTTTTGGGGTTGGTGAGGATCTCTCGGGCAAGTCTCCAGGTCTGCTTGGCCGCACTCTCCAGGGCAGAGTGGGGTTTGCCCTGGAACAGGTCCAGGTTAGGTAAGAAGTAGTGCGGACACCTGCGGCACTGCAGGCAGGAGATGAGTTGGAGGAGGATGCCATTGAGCCGGTCCCCTAGGCAAGCCTCGTCCCAGTCGGTCTCACGGGGGTGCTTCTCGCACTCGTAGAGCAGCAGGGTCTTCATGTGGTAGTTGTTGAGCGGCTGTCCGGGCAGTTCCAGGTGCCGGTCCCGCAGGGTCTTCAGGATGGACAGACATTTGTTCCTGCAGCCCCCCAGCAGCAGCCGGTTCTCGGCCTCGGCAAACTGCAGCACCCAGGCGTCGCTCTCGGCGGAGCTCTGCTTGCCGGTCAGGGAGTAGCACTCTTTGGACAGCAGGTTGAAACCCTCCGCCTTGACCTCTGCCACCCTGTTGGGGCCCGGCCAGGGGATGTGGGGTAAGGGCCACTGCGCCGCACTGCGGGGCCAGATGCCGGTACACTTGAAGGCCGGGGTGATCTGCACCACATAGCGCTCCCGAATCCGGAGCCGGACCTCGCTGGTGTCGGCGATCATCTTCACCACGTCCCGGTAGCTGCACTTATCCACGGCCTGGGCCACCAAAGTCTGGAAGCGGGAGCGGATCTTCCTGGCCGAGAGGTAGCCGGAGGCCGTAATGAACTCCACCCACAGGGACATGCTCCTCTTCCGACCATCGCTCAGCTTCAGCACCGCACAGCCCGGCAGGGAGCCGTCATCCACGAAGTTGAAGACCCCCATCTGGTTGAGGTAGAGCACCACCTCGAACTCGGTGGGGGGGGAGACCACCTCCAGGCCCTCGTACCTGGCATCGATCTCGGTCAGGGAGCTGATGAAGCGGGGCTCCTGCACCTCCACCTCTTTCAGGACGTCGGCCACCACTTTGCACACCTCCCGGATGGTCTTGGCGATGGCCGCTTTCCTGGCCTGGCAGCGTTCCGTGTAGTATTTGTTCAGCTGGTATACCAGCTTGGCCTGGGCGGCGATCATGTTGGGGCACAGGTCCGGGCTGTACACCGGGGGATCGCAGTACGTTGAGGGATCCAATGCTTTGACAAGTGCTAATCAGAGCCCCCGGGCGACACAGGAGTCCTGCTGAGGAGGAGGAGGGTGCCAGTGGTCGGGGGCACAGGGGCTGCTGGCCTCAGGAACAGTCTACACAGGAAAAGTCTGGCCAAAGTGTTCATGGAGGAGGAGAGCAGCCCACCAGACACTCCACTCAAAGTAGCATGGTCAGTCTGTAGGAGTGAGGGCTCTTCTCCTTCTCTTAGTCGGAGGCGTAGCCCGATGGTGGTTGTGTTACAGCAGGCCAATCCTTGGGAAAGTTGGCGCAGATGGTGATGCTGGGTGTGCTGGAGGCAGGTCAGGGTGGCACAGGATGGTGAAGGTGAAGAAGAAGAGTTTGCAGAGTGCCCGCCTGGATCCTGCTAAGCGCTGTCTCAGGGCTATTGCACGACTTGCCTAGTTTTATGAATGGTCCCAGGGCCCTGGAGGAGGGGGGGCGGGTCCTTCTACCTTCCACAGAACGCTTAGCTGTCAGCGCCTCAGCCAATCAGCGGCCACAGCGAGCAGCCCTCTACTAGCAGTGCACGAGCTGCACCTAGACTGGAAGATGTATGGCCAACAAGCAGCCGGAGAGCCCCACACAGTCCTCCTCTGAGTCCGGGTCACGGCCACTACCACGGGTACCCTCCTTGTCTTCACCGCTCACCACAACGGCTGCTGCTGCTCCATGGCTGAGATGACTTGTCTAGTGGATTGGAGTCATGTTGTGTACAGGGCTCTAGGCTCCGTGTCAGTTGGGGGGGGTGGGGGGCTAGCAGTGACTGCGATGTGCTGGACCAGTGACACCCAGAAGACTGGCAGCTCTGCTGTGCTAGGATTCCCCTGCCGGAGAGTCAAGGGGCTCTCCTGCTTCTAGCAAGGGGTTAACACGTGACATTCATTCTCCCTTCTTATTAAACATCTGTTTTCGTTTCACATCAGTCTGATCAGCAGAAAAAAACTTTGTATTGTAGAAAACAAATAGATCCTAATACAGAAACATCGACTTTAGGTCACCCGACATTTGTCCGCCTACATGCTACTTCTTGCCTTGTCACTTTCTGACCCCCCTTGATGTTTATTATTTCTCTTTACACGAGGCTCGGTTGTGACATCGGTTCTATTCTACCTAGTGGGGTATAGCTGGCTCCCGAAGGGCATCTAGAAAGAACAATGGAAGAAGTATAAATGGGGAAATAGAGCAGCATCCTCACTAGGGTTGACCATGGCCAGCCTACACTATAGACATAGGATTGGTAGGGGACAGATCATCAGAAATGTACCTACATGTATAGACAAGAACACACACATTATATGTGTGTGTATATGTAATATATATATATATATATATATATATATCACAAAATAATATATATATATATAGAGAGAGAGAGAGAGAGAGAGAGATGTGGAGTTTTATATTTTTATAAAAAAAACTGCACATTCTGGTCATAAATATATTAGACCTGCTGGAGACTTTTTTTTTTTTTACCCTATGAATTATATAATGTATAATTTTGTTTATTGTATAGAGTGTGCGTGTATGTGTGTATGTGTATATAAATATATATATATTTCCATGAATTTTACAATGCAATATATGTTTGTTTTCTATGAACTGTACACTACAAATATGTATTGCATACAATCAGTGTGTGTATATATAGATAGATATATATTCTTATTCTACAACACAGTATTATATTGTGTAGATCACTGTTATATATATATATATATATATATATATATATATATATATATATATATATATATATATATATATAATTACACACACTTTTCTACTTTTCTTGTACAATACATGTTTGTGTAGATGTAACTTGTGTGTTGATCTTTATTACTATTTTTGTATTGCTTAGGTCTCCTCTTTACTATAAAAAGAAACGTATTCATTTGTATCGTGTATCTCTACATGTCTGATTTCTTAGGAGGATAGGATGGATTGGGGGTATTTGTGAGTTTCCACTTAGCAGAATGTCAGAGGATGTCCCATGGTGGGAAGGGCTCGGCTGTAATGGGCCGGTCGGTGGGGACCCTTCTCCGGATTTTGGATTCCATACACCTGCTTGTTACTCTGATCGCATTTCTAATTAAAATAAAGAAATGTCTACATACATTCTGTACATTCTATTCCTATGTCATGTCATATCTGGTTGTAAGCTGTTGATTCGTACATTTCCAAGAATAAAATGTTGCACGGTCGAAGATGGTAAGGAGTATTGGAGTGTATATAATTAATAAATACACAGACTTGTATTAGTAGGAGCGGGTGGGCTTATTGCCATTCTTTATGGTGGGAAGATTTTTCTGCATTTGGTAGGTGTGTGTGTGTGTTATAAAACGAACATGTCACCAACAAACCTTTAAGGTGCATTTTGGCCCATCAGGGGTGATGCGCTCCCAGAGCATCATATCTATCTACCTAGAGAAGGGGGTGCCCATGTGGTGCCCCCACACACTTCTAACATGCAGAATCCAGGTGTCAGTACAGTGTGCAGCATTTCTCTGAGTTCGGTGATGATGGATAGGGGTGCAGCCCACATAGAAACCTGTTCTCCGGCCCTCTCACCTCACTCTATAACGCAGCAATTCGTATTTTGAAATTGCAGCCAAACCTACCAGAGATCTGTTTATTATTACCCGCACCCTTTCCAGACCCCCCATCGCATGGATGGATGGATGGACGGACTGGCAGTGCACAGAAGGCCTGTGCTCGGATCCTGCTCTCCGGACATGTGGGCGGGGCACCAGCTGTCATCGGGGAGCCGCATCTTGTTGTGCGCCCCGTGTAGTCTGCATTGTGCGGCGTCAGCCTCACCTTCTCTACCCACTGTCTCTTCTCTTTTAGAGATTGCATTTTATTGCGTTTATTCCATCTTTCCTGTCGGGTTTTATTTTTTTTTCTCAGACGAATTTGTTTTTTTATCGTATGTAGCTTTTATTCCATTAATATCTAAAACATCGAACGTATCGATAATGATTGTGTACCGCATACAAGAATGAAGACGTTTTTTTTGTTTTTTTCATTTTAATCTCTGATGTTTCATTAGGTTGCTCGGTATCTAACATATCCCGTATCTAAAGTCATGATTAAAGCGGACCTGCCTGTCAGAGATCCGCAGTCCTTGGAATGCACCTATATCTATATCTGTTACTAGGTGAACGGACAGTGATATGGAGCGATGGACACCATTGATGTATTACATTCAAGGCGGCAGAATAGCTGAATCTACAGCATTTCCATATATATATATATATATATATATATATATATATATATATGAGAAATAATTTCGTTTTATTAATAAAGCCCCCAGACATGCTTCCATTTATAGTAAACCTCTATGAGAAAAGCGCTAGTGCCCTTTGCCTGTCATTTCCATACATTCCTGCACTGCTGATGAAGCTTGAATTGCTGCCGGGAATGGATGGACTTATGAAATAGAAAAGTTTTTTTTTTTTTTTTTTCTCCAGCAACAGAGCTGATCTAACGATTTAGAAATATCTGAGAATGACAGTATTAATCCAGATCACAATGCTAGTCAGACTTGCCTGCCTCTATGTTGGTTTACAGAGCTGGGAATTTTTCATACACATGTGAGTTCTTAATTCTAGAATACTATTAAGTGGTGCAAGCCTTGGTTTACCGAATTTAACACACTGCTGTGTGGATTCCAGTCTGCTTTTACAGTTGCTATTTTCTTTCATTCATCTATAATTCAAATGTAATGTATTAGAATTTTTGGAAAATTATTGTGTATGTATGTATTTTTATATTATATATGTATATGTATATGTGTATATATATATATATGCGCACCTGTATATGTAGGTATGTTGAGTATGTATGTGTGTATGATATAGATATATATCTAATTTGTTTTATTTTTGTTTTTTTTTCATAAGCAACACACAGACTCTGTATATGTAGGCATATGGAGTGTAAATAAATATATGTGTGTGTATAATAAATAAATATGTGTATATATATATATATATATATAGAGAGAGAGAGTGTGTTTATATTTTTATAGAACCTATGCACACTCTAGTCATAAATATATTAGACCTGCTACTGTTTTCAGTAGCAGAAACTCCTTTTTCTCTTTGAATCTACAGTTTTTCTAATACATCCTAGTTAAGTTGTAATTGCAAAGAAATGGATTATGCACTCCTCATCAGTGTGTTTATTTGATGTTGACTTATAAACAGCATCGGCACATCATCTTTATTAATTTTAGCATTAGGATATTTTTTTAATTACATTCTTATATTTTTTTTCAAATGTAATTCAGGATTTTATTCCTGTTTAAAAATAATTTTATGTGTGTGTGTGTGTGTGTAATGTATATGTATATATTTATATATGTATGTGTGTGTGTGTATATATATATATATATATATATTATATATATATATGTATATATATATGTTTATTTATGTATATATATATGTATGTATATATATGTATATATATATGTATGTATATATATATGTATATATATATATAATATAATATATAATATATATATATCTTAAAGCTAATATTAAAGCAACAATATAGCAAAAATTAAAACATAGAACATGCAGTTTTAAGCCGAATCGAATATTTAGCAGTTTCCAAATGTATTTGTATTTATTTGTATATGATTATTCTTTTGTAAATTGCATGTATAGACGAACATTTACTTTTTTATTTTTAATAGATCTTTCTATGTGTTTGGCAAATGTCATATGTATAAATTAACAAGCAAATACTGCAGCATCTTAACCTGCTTTGTAATGCTGTTAGCTTTTCTTGATTTGTGGATTCATTTTAATTAGTGATGCTTTCAAATTGTTAAATAATTTACAATGTTGGATCATTTTGGTTTCATTTTAGTTTAAATATTAGGAAAAGTGTAACTGTTGCAAGCTAGAATTGTTTTAAATGTTATAGCTAGGTTATTTGCTTCACTCTTGTTTAACTAATTACGGGCATACTTATA